CACCTTCTCCCACTTCTCAGGTAGGGCAGATTGGCCAGTCCGGGCAGGGTGCTTAAGCGGAGGTTTTACGCTCAATTGAAGATGCGTCGCGAACAAACACTTCGAATCCGGAAAACACGGTCTCATCTGCATTGCGAGACTCCACTTGACACGAAAAAAGTAAGAACAGTCAGTGTTCATATACCGCATAGCAACAAAATGGTACCAAACAAACAAGGTGGAAGAGATAATGCTTTCGCCATTCGAATTTTATAATCCATGCCAATAGGCAGAGGGAAAGCCAGATCATTAGGTCTAAATTTGACGCAAGATCCACTTATATATATGCTCACCCGGAAATAACTAATGTCAAATGGCCTCGAAAGTTAGCCATATTGAAAATAGTTAATGTTATCGTTTGTATAATGGAGAACATTGTGGGACAATTGAACTACAACTCCTTCATCACCTTAACAATAATAGGCTGACACTCCCGAAACCTACTTATAAACGAAAATGGAAAGTCTCATTTTGACCTCATCGACATGTCCCCTTAAATGTAGTTTGTGATAGGACCTGTTGACCCTTGATCAAGATACTCACGACCAGTTTAAACTCCTGTTGGGAGTGCTGATTAGATCCAGACGAGGTCGAAAGCGCAGCCGACCCTGGATGAAAGCTTTGGCTGATGCAAGGGCAAGGGGGAAATAACTTCATTATCAGTCCTGAAATCACCCCAAACGACCTAAACTGAATAAGTTTCTATTCAAGAATTACTGACAGTTTTGAACCGTATTTACTCTGAAAATGGTATAAAGCAAATATACAAAAAGCAACCCAGCTCAGAATCCACGGATGATACGAGAGAAGATGCAGCAAGTTGAAAGTTGAAATAGTTAACCCTTCTGGCTCCATGGCTTCGCGCATCTCCGGACAGAGGCGCACTGATTGCTTACACAAGCACTCGGAGACAAATGCAAGGACATACCAACTCAGCCATAGAGGCATGTTTGCATAAGTTCAAGTCTTAAGGAATAGAGAAAAAGGGGAAAAAGGAAAAGGAGGGCTTAAGGAAAAAGAAATGCTCCAATGCTGAGCAGGCTGTAGGTGGTAGATGTCTGGTCAAATGACAGACACCAGCATAACCTAAAATTTGACCCTATCAAACCAGGCCCTTGGCCTTGACTGACACTGAAGTCTCTCTTTGATGCCCAAATTGACAAGTGGCGGCCTTAAAAGAGGAAGTGCAACACCAAGACGCAAAGCTATATCTGGTGGAAAAATTAGCATTACAATCAAAGAGTACGTGTAGAGAAGAGAGAAAGAAAAATTTAATTACTCAGCAATTCAGTCGCCCAAACATAATAAATAAAAATATTCTATCAACGCATTACTTTTATTAATGGTATAACCTGTAACGTGAACCGACCACTTAAGCACTCAATCAATTATGTATCCCTAAAGTCAAATAATCACCCAGTTGATCAGTTAGCTGATCGAGGAAGCAGGAAGTAAAGCGAACAATAGATTCAGACAATAGAGTCAGACAGATAAATATTCAAAACTGTTTTATACCCCTATATCTCCAAGCCTTTGTGAATAAAATTGACAACATTAGTGCATCCTTTTCATCGACCTATCAATCTGTCCATCAGTCAATCTAGTTAATTAGCTAGTTTGCTTGATAAATAGACCATCTAGCTATCTAGCAATACAAGTAATTGTCACTATCCTTTACACATGAGACAGAGTGAGTCAAGGCCGAGGCCTGACGCAAGTTCTACAAATGCAACCTTATGCGCGCTGAAATCAGTCAACTAAAATACCTTGATAATGCTATACAGCTTGATGTTGTTGGCATAGACAAGAGTAAAAATGAATTAAAGCAGAGAAAGGCAATATTGAACTGAGTGCCCAGATGATTTTGACAATCCTGTAAAGCTGTCTAAGCTGGAATCTAGCGATAAACTGATCGCTGTAACAGCATAAGTCTCTATGGTGTTATGAACTTAGCAACAAAAGATTTACCATTAATATGGCACATGACTGGGCACATTAGGACCTGTTAGCAAATGAAGATGAAGTTCAAATAAAAGTGGTGAAGTCACCTAGAAACACGAGATGGCGACGTGAATGCGCCGTCGCTAACGCAGTAAACCGATCTGTTGCTCCAGCGACCTCGTGAAGAGAACCAGCCAACAGAAAAGGTGCTGGGTAAGTCGTCAGAAAACCGCCCCTACTTGTCTTAAATAATGAAAAAATACAAAAGGCTCTGCGGGAAGAAACCTTTCCAGAGGTCTATCTTGTCCTCCTTCTATACAGGTCTGATTGAGAAGCGCAAGCTCTTTTTGCTATGGTTAACCTTCACTTGCCATACCCGTTGACAGACCTTTTCAGATCAGTAACCTATTCGGTTTAATATTGCAAGCCTATGAATCAAAAAATATTTAAGCAAATGAAGCAGGGTTTTGAAAAAATGAAAGATACGCCAAAATAGTGTATGCATTTTGGGTATTATTTGAGCTATTAGAACGAGGAGTAATATCTATCTTAGGTCGTTAAGGCAAATTGTTCTCCCGCATCAAAAAAATTTCATAATGCAAAATACATGTGTCGCTTTTCATAAGAAACATGTTAAATCGCTAACATCCTGAGGATGCTTTTATCCCGAAGTCTTAACTTCTTATCTCTCTTCCATACCTGAAATTATCTTCATAATCTCTTGATTTGTATTATGCTTCCATTTACAGTCTACCAGCAGACATAATAGAATGGACCAAACGATGAGTCTGGGGACATTCGATCTCTTGTAAAGTTTTTATTCGTTGGAACAATCAGTCTCTAGCGGCAGTTCTGTCTTTCACGGATGGAGAGATCACAAAGACACACAATTTCCCTAACAGCCCAATGTAGATAAATAGTCTGACTTTTATGTAAAGGTGGGTGCAATCAAGGAAAGTATTACAGTTTCTATCACACCTAATCAGCTATAACAATACCTTCGACATCAACTCAACACCACAACACAAGAGCAGGCATTATGTCTGCACATTTACGCCATATTATTTGTGCATTGTCTGCAATAATTTATTCGCATATCTCTTCGTCTATCCATTCAATTAAATCGGTCTATACTATCGTTCATTAATGCATCAAAATTTTTATCCATAAGCCTGTCCTTCCACTTCTAGTTTTCCCCTTAGCCTTCCACTTGTCCATAGACTTCTTGGTTCGTTGCCTATGCACCTACCCGTACAGCGGCAACTCGGACCCGCCATGGGGGTGCTTGAGCCAGCCACAAATGAGACTCGTCCATTTGAGTGCGGTCTGGACGATTAGCATAGGCCGCCATCTTGCACATTAGCAAATTGCATCTACGATTCGGCTCATCCACCTCCTTTTCAATCTCTTTCAGCTGCCTATTGCTGATCAGCATGTCCATCAGCATGCGTGTATGCATTTGCATGAGTCCATTAATCCATTTACTCGCCGATCCACCAACCCAGTCATCCAGACCACCATCTATCCATTCATGAGTCCATCAATTCGTGAGATCCACTAGTCGGAGCTAGTACACTTTCAGCTTAAAAAAAAGCCTCCACGTTTCTGCAAATTGGCTAGATACTAGTGCTAGACGCAAGATCGTGTAATAAGTCATTTACTTATTTATTCAATCACCTTTCGGTATCATCCCACTGGCTGATTAGGTAACTAAGCCGGCATTGACGATTGGTGGATTCAATAAGCGCTTCCACCATCTCCATATCCTTGCCTTGGTTTCTTATCCGCTGCCATGGTCACAGTGGCTTGTGCATTAATGGGGGGGGGAAGTATGTGTGTGTGTGAGAGAGAGAGGGAGAGATAGGCGTGTACTCCAAAGGGTACACTTTGAAAGCGGAATGGCTCAATTCACTTTCACATTCGTCATCTCTTTTGATGTTAGCAATAAGTAACCATGTCGCCTGAACAAGCTCGGCTCGTATGAACCGTCCAACGAGTAGGCGAGTGAGTTTGCGTTCTGAAAGCCACAGCCAGGCCTGCTTGCGGCTTGCTCTCTAATGCTGTGCCTGGACGGCGCAAATTTGCTCTATTTTCCCTCTTTCCCCTCACTCCAGTCTGCTCAGGACCAGCTAGCAATCCTTCGTATCGCTCCATCACAACGCCCCGTATCCTCCAGTCACAAAGCTTTGCATTCGGAACTTACGCGCCAAGGCGTACGCGTCTTTTGGCATGAAAGCCGAACAAGCAGATGGATGCTGGCTGACAGAAATTTCGAGTCAACCTCATGGCCGAATGACTGGCCGAATAAGTGAATCGATGGACAGGTAGGCAACGAAGGAGGAGACTAGATAGATGGAGGTCAGAGTGTATGGACAGCTGGCCGGCTGGTCGGCTGGCCGAACAGAAAGGGAGGCGAGCAAGAAATTGGGCAGATGAGTAGATCATTATAAGAGCCAATCACCTAACTAGGCAATTGCGGCATCTCTGGCCTCTACTGGTTATTACTTAATCAGCCGGTGTGTGGCGGAAGAAGAGACTTTGAGAAAGACGGGCTAAAGTAGGCACATCGCGAGTTGACTGAGGCAAAAGTCACACCCTTCGGAGAACTGAAGGCGACTCAAAAGAACATGTCCCCAGAGAGCCTCGATGACAGATTTTGACTGAGGATTACGGTACAATCACTCAAATCAGAACTAACATACTCGGTCGAGAAGATGAATAAGTGCTTCGATCTGAAAGAGTAGACAGTATGTCAAGTCATTTGCTGAACAATTAGTAAATGGCACGGGCAGATTTTTATCGTTTCAAATTAATTACCAATAAACTTTGCTGCCTTATAGTTAAAACTAGACTTTTCTCATATTTCTACAATTAAACACACAGACACAAGCACAAACATGCAAACATACGTAGACACAAACACAAATCAAGAGGCAGATATGTACGTATAACTACAATAACATGCTCATTTTTCACATTGCTTCATTTTAATTGAGCATATGTTGATGAATCTGTGGACCAGCAAGGAGCTCATCACACGAGATTGGCAGCTAACTAATTAGACTGACTTAAAGATGAGCTGTGTTGGCCAACCCCGATGTCGACTGTGGTTGTGAACTATTTAAAGTTATGACGTAATCAAGATATATGGCTCCAAGAGAGGCTAGTGCACACATTGTTTTGTACATTACCAGCGAATTCGGCGCCTTTAGACGAAGGATAATTCAGAAGAAACCGATTGCTTAACATAGCGATACAGCATCAAGTAACATATGATGGAATGTAGCACATCGAATATAGGCTACAAGCTCATGCCTGTACCACTGCGGATAGTGTATGGAGGAAAAGTTTGGTCTCGAGAACTCTCTTTATATTGTAATCGTTGCGCTTGCTTCCGTTTCGAGAGAAAGTGTGTAGTGAAGGGATTTGAAGAAGACGACAGTGAATTCCTCTTGGTTAGCCTGAAGCATTGTTGTTGAAGCTGTTCCCGAGATAATCGCCCGATATTTCGTAAAAGTGCATGCAAATGAAGGCCTATAAGCACATACAAGAATACACTCAAGTGCTTCTATATTGTCATATGACTTGAA